CTTAGGTTGGGGTAAGATCTTTTTTTCCTTTGTATTTTCCCTTTTGTAAATTCCACCTTATAAGAAACTCTCCTTTTTTTTTTTTCCTATGGCAAAGCTATGGGAGCAGGTACTGCAAACCCATATTGTCATCAAGCATTTTTTTTTTCCCTTGTTATTTTAGGAGAACCTGGTTGCTTTTAATGACAGGTCTCTTTTGTTTCAGAATAGAATCCAACTGAGTAGGAGGAACAGGTGAGAAGGTTGGGTGGGTGAGGAGGGTTGTTTTGAGATCGTGCTCCCATACCTATGAAAAGATCCATGAGCTTTGCCAAGTCTAAAACCAGGAGCAGATCATCATTGCACAAAACACATCTTTATTCAGGGCTGGGTCACTCAGCCTTTTTACTTACTTATTTTTTATTCATTTTATTTATTTTCCCTATCTTGTCTGAAATGGCTTCCCCACAGGACATTTTTAAATGATTCTTAATTGCAGGGTAGCCAAGTGGAGTATGTCTGTTGCTGGCATGTGAATACTGGCTGGACCTGTGCAATGTAGTAATTGCTAAAGTTGGCATCTGCTACATAGGGAGCCGGCTGGTAATAGCAAGTGACATTAGCCACATTAGGTATGACATTTTGGTCAGCTAGCACCCGGATAGCCAGCATTGTGATAAGGTTTAAAGTCTGTCTTCTTTCATGTCCCATCAGGCACACTGTACTCTCATTCACCACTCCATGAAGGGTCATGAGATAGTCATACTTGCGGTCTTCCAATCCCACGAAGTGGTTCTGCAAGTAAGACTCCAGTTTTCTCTGCTGCTCTCCGATGTCTGAGAAGTCGATGAAAAACCTGGAACACATATACCTCTGAAGGGTCTTGATTTCATCAGAGGCGGGCCTAAAGCCCCTCACTAATAGGTTGCAGTATTTCAGCAGGCCGCCCCCTCTGATTTCCTCTGGGTTCCTGGTGGCAATGATCTTGTTACAAAGGTGATCAAAGGCTTCGTGGAAATCACCATAGACGCTCTCACCAATTATCGTGGGGTGAAATGTTTCAGTCATTGGGTTCTCTGAACATTCATAAAAGAGGAGAAGAGAGTCTAATTTGATTTGAAAAGAATCTACACTAAATTCAAACTGCCTCCGGAGGGAATCCACAAATTTCAGTTCCACATTTTTGCCACTGTTGTTTGACAAGGAAATAAGACTCCATCGGTCAGAGTCATTGCACACTTTAACCATTTTCTGCACATAAGCTTCCTACAATTTAAAAGATAAAACAAGAAGATGAGCAAACCTAGAAGAAATAATAAATGAATAAATGCATCTTCTTCACAGTAGAGAATTATCTTGCTCCTTCCCTTTTGTTTTGTCAAATTTCAGCAAACACTACCTACAGGCTTAAACAGTCCTCTGAAAACAACAACAAAAATGCATTTAACGAGCGGTTTTACCGTCTGGAAAAGAGACTAGAAGTAATAGTTTGAGGCTTTTGGCAGACGTATCACAGTACTAAGAGGTTCTGTTGTCATGTCTGACTTTTGAAATGTTATTTTTTGAAAATGGTCTTATAGGTAGAACATTCACACGATATCCACACAATACTCAAAAGACAGAAGTGCATACAGTGGAAAATTGGTCTGTCTCTCACCCTTGTCCCTAGTCACCTAGTTCCACTTCCCCAGAGGCTACTGTTGAGATTAGAATCTTGTCCCTCCAGTGGTACTCTGCAATTACAATCAAGTATGAACTAAATTAGGACATTCTGGGAGACTGATTCCTCAGACAACTTTAATTGTTTAAAACATGCTTTGAGCCAGTGTGTCTGTGTGTGTGTGTGTGTGTGTGAGGGGGGGGGGTACCCACAATATCCGTCACACGTGAGCCGACCAGGAGAAGCATCACACATATCCTTCACACACGGAGTCAGCTGCATGCAGCTGAAAAATCTAATCACATTTTCCAATACAGTAATAATAAGCCCATTGACTGGATCCTGCTTCAGGCTGCTCTTTCCCCAAAAACTAGATTATAAAATGACTCAAAAATTGGTTTACGTCATTTCATTCTTCCACTTAATCAGAAACCACTCTGGACAAGACTCAAGCAAGGAAATCCAAACAGTTAAAAAAAAAAAAAAAAGAGAGAGAGAGAGAGAGAGAGAAAAGAGAGAAGGAAGGGAGAACAGAGGAGGAAGTAGAAGAGTAGTGGCGCGTCAGAACCCAGTGAACTTAAAACCCCCAACACCGTCCGCGCACCTCAGCTGACTGACTCATCAAAACAATCAAAACCCAAATATAATAGAAGCACGCCCCAACCCGTCACGGCCGCAGGTCTGTGGCATCACACGGGCGCCCCTCTGCCCGCCGCACCCTAGCCCGGCCCGGGCACGGCCCCAAGCCCAGGTCGGGGGGCTTTACCTTGAGCGTGAGCGGTGTGATTTTCTCTTTGTTCACCCCTTCGGGCAAGAAGTCCAAGAGGCAGTCCAGCACGACGTCCTTCACAGTCTGAAACTCCTCTTCCCCGCGCAGGTCGGCGCAGAAGATGAGGTCCAGGTCCTTGTAACCCAGGCCGCTGTCCTGGTGCAGAACGTGGCTGGCGGCCGAGCCGTTGAGGCGCACGTCGCGGACGCCGATACGCTTCTCGGCCAGGCGCCGCCGCACCACCTTCACGATCAGGCTCGGCTGCAGCTCGAGCGTGGGGAAGTTGCCGCGCCCGTGGATCGGGATGGTCTCGCTCAGGATGCCGTCCAGCCGCTGCACTTGCTCCCAGTTGAGCACGTTGCAGTGCGCCGTGGGGCTTTCGCAATAGTCCAAGCAGTGGCCGCCGAAGTCGTCGTCGCCGTCGCCGCCGCCGCCGCCGCCGCCGCCGAAGTCGCCGCCCAGGGGGATGTAAGCGCCGCCGGCCAGCTCGTCTTCGGCCATGGCAAAGTACCCTTCGCCTTCCGCCATGAAGTGCCCTCCGAACACCAGCTGGCCCTGGTCAGTCCTAAAAAGCCAAAAGGGGGAAGGAGCGCGTTGAGGGCGCGCGCGGCGGCTGACAGGGGCCCGCAGAGAGAAGAGCGCGCCCCCTCCCCGGCTCGGCCGCGGGCTCCAGGGCTCCTCGGGAGACCGACCCTCCCTCCCTCCCTCCCTCCCCGGCCCCCCGCTGTGCCCAGCCGCGCCCCGCGCCCCGCGCCCCGCAGAGAAGCCCCCGCACCAAAAGTATCTCTGATGCATCTGGAAAGCGCAAGCGGGAATCCCGTCTGTGTCACCTGGAGGCGGCCGCCCCTTCGAGGAGCGCAGCGAGCGAGGAACCGCGAGGCGGCAACACTTCGAGGAGCCGCGAGCGCGCTCTGGGCAGCGGCGAGCGACTCAGTCCTTCCCAGACCTCGCCGCCTGCGCTGGCCGCTCCCGCCCCTCGCCCCGCGCCCCGCGCCCCTCACCCCGCCCGCGCCGCTATCGCCTCAGCTGCGGTGGTCCCGGAGGTGGCGGCCCCAGGTGGTGACGCCGCCGCCGCCGCCGCCGCCGCCGCCGCCGCACACGCTACCGTCTCTGGAGCTTTAGCAGTTGTGCGGGGGGAAATGTCTTCAGTACTTTTTTTATACCGGGCCTTTCGGCGCTTCCGGGGCCCGGGCGCCGCGCGCTCGCCACACCCTCCTCATCTGCATAGGGCCCCGCCCCCGCCCGCCCCGCAGGCCGAGCCCGGCCGAGCGGTCCGAGGAGTGGGACGTCGGCCGCCGCGTGTGCGCGGGTGTCGGGACAGACGCTCGATTTAGGGACGGTCTTCCGCGCGCCCAAGCCTCTTTTTTTTTTTTCTTCCCCCCGACCCCAACCAAAAGACGCTCAGAATGCCTCAAGAGCCCTGAAACTGAATCACGGCTGAAATCGCGCAACTGCAGAAAGTCGCCAAACATAAAACCCTCTCCGGGTGCCGCGCGTCGTTACAGCCGGATGGGGCTCCAGGGGCTCCTGGGGACCTCCCGCGTAACACAGCCGTGCGGAGCGGGACGTTTTCTTAGGCGACCAAACCGACCTAAAGGTCCACTAGTCCATGCAAATAAGTCTCCGCGACCGAGGGGGAAGAGCTTGCTAACTGTGTGTTTCGATTCTCGAAACGTCGGGAAGTGCCGGGGAGCTCCGGGGCGAGCCTGGGGAGACGCGGGGGCGGAGCCGCGAGCCTGCGTCCAACTGGTGCGCACGAGCGGCTCCGGGCGGCCGGGAGCGCGGCGTCGGCCGGCCAGCGCGCGTCACCGAGCGGGCGGGCGGGCGGCCAATGCGGGAGGACGGCGCGGGCCCGGACACACCGCGGCGCGTTCTCTCGCGGACTGAGGAAGCGAAGCGCGCGCGTCCCACACCAAGGTTTGCCTTTCCCAAGTGAATACAAGTGCCGGTGTGAAATCACCTAGTTTTCCACGGCACGTGAAAGGACGAGGCTAAAAGATCAGCGTTTCTCCCCCCACCTCCCCCAGCTTTAGTCACTTGGGCCGGGCGAGACGGGTGTAATGGTTACCCCGCACCCGCACCCGCACCCGCACCCGCACGCGCACGCTGCCGCTCGCCCCGCCGGGTTTGTTGCTGGGAAGCTGCCCCCTGTTTCCCGGCCGTCCGTTCCGGCCTCACGCGGCTCTTTCCAGACTAACTCCCCTGAGGTAGGGCTGAGGGGAGCGCGCCGGGGAAGCTAAAGACGCTCCCCCAGGGCCTTTGCACAGCCCCCGCCGTCCAGCTCGGGAGGAAGCACAGTCCGCCCGGTGAGAATCGACGGAGCCGCGTCCTCGTTACCGAAGCTGCGAGCCCAACGGGGGTGGAGGGTGGAGGGGCGAGTAGGGGGCGGGGAGAGGACGGTTACCCGCGGAGCGTCCAGCTGTGTGGCAACGCCGCCCCCTGCCGGTGCCCTGCGGAGCCGCGTACCAAAGTGGAGAAACCGACCGGACCTTAGAGGGAAGCCATTACCCTTCAGCGCCCGGCCTAGCACGGGTGGGGGTGGGGGGTGGGGGTGGGGCGACCACACAGTTCTCACAGGCCCGCCGCCCCGCCGCCCCGCCAGAAGCGCGCGTATGCCTGCCTCCCTGTCCCCACAGGAGTCCCCATTCTGTCCAGGCCTTCAGGATAATTACGTATGTGTATGTGCATGGTTTGACCACCTCTTATGTTCCAGGCACCCAGGCGAAGTGCTGAGGGTACAAGGACGACTGCATCTCACACAATTTAAGCGGGCGTGAGAAGCAAGGACGCAGTTACGGTTCAGCCTTCCCTGAGGGATGAAAGGAGTATCTGTGGTGAGCTAGCTAGGATCAGGGAAACTGGGAGAGAGAGAGGAAAAAAGAAACTAGAAGGGAGGTGTCCTTTGAATTGAATCTTTAAAAGTGGACTTTACTTTCGTAGTTGAGTAAGGAGGAGGCAGGCGTTGTCAACATAGGGAATAGAGCATGTTTGAGAAAGGATGTATAGACTGCCATGGAAAGAAATAAGACTGGTAGTGCATTAGGATAAGGTTTGTGGGGGTTGGAGGAACTTGCTGAGCACCTCTGGGCTCTCTCTCCTCAGTGCTTTACACTTAAAACTTCATTTAATGATCTTCCGCTTAAGAAGTAGGTATTCTAGGTCAGAGGAATTCGCAGAAAAAAACTGCTAGGTAGAGACTTGCCCAAGGTTCATGGCTAGTAAGAAATGGGGCCAGACCTTGAACTTCGCCCATTTGACTGCTGTTTAGCCATCATTTTTAGGAACGGGATTATCCGTAGTTCACGGATAAGTAAAGTAAGACAGGTACAGATGGCAAAAAATATTTAAAAGAAGAAAAGACCTGTTAAAAATGTTTCTTTCAAAGGCCAGTGTGAATTCTGACCTTTCTAAAAATAAGGTCAAAGAGGTAGATAGGTGATGCACTAGGTACACCACACCAAAGAAAGCAAGGGTTTAGCTCTGCTGCTATTGTTTTGAACTGTATTTTAACCCTTCCTCTAAAACATGGAAGGGCCGGAAAAGGAAGTTTCAGAGCTGAGAGCACCTGTACTTCGTGCATGCCCAGGATTTTGTTCTGTGGGGCTAAGGGGATCTGCATTTTACCAAGTTGCCCATGTAGTTCTGACGCAAGGGCTCAGCACTTTGCGCTGCATTGACAAAAGCCTCATTGGCCCAGTTCTCTAGGTGGGGACCCTATTCCCAAGCAGAGGCTGCTCATCTCTGCTGGCAGCTCCCATGGCCACTCCCAAAAGTAGAGGTAATGGCTGAGAGGCAGAAGTAGAGCATGAGGCCAGACATGAAAGACATGTTATGCGTAAGACCCTGCACTAGGAAAAGATGAATTCTAGCCGCAGTGGGCAAGAGCCCTTCTCTTAAACTGCCAGGGCTTTGTGGCTGACACTTCCTTAAACCTTTATCAAAGCGTTTCCCCCTCCCCAACTGGGTTCCGCCCATCACAGCAAATTTCCATATCTCCATAATCCAGACCCTGCTACCTCCTGCACTAGGACATCTGGGCTGTCTTGCTTTTGGCAGTACCTTGGTGATGCTTTGACTGGATTCATATGTGTCTGATTCATAGTGGCCATTTGATATGTACTGTTGAATGAAAGCATCTGTTGTTCTTTGTTTCTCTTCACCCTGTCCTCAAACTGAGATAATATTTACATTCTGGGGGGAAAATGTTCATCCTTCCATGAAATTGCAAATTTTGCAATTGCAAGCACTTATTTTTTTCTAGATAGCCAAAATAATTATCAAATGAGAAAATCTATACTTTCATAACCTCGATATCTTTCAACACAGTTACTCTTAGTTTAAATTTAGGTTCAAATTTGTTTTTTTCCCCTCTCTTCAGCTTCTGAACCTATTTGGTACATAATTTACTTTTCTCCGTTTAAAAGGGAAAAAAGACACCTGGGTGACTCAATTAAGTGGCTGACTCTTGATTTTGGCTCAAGTCATGATCTCAGGGTCCTGGATTGGCTCTGTGCTCAGTGTGGAGTCTGCTTGAAGATTCTCTCTCTCTCTCTTTCTCTGTCCCTCTCCCTATACGTGCTCTTTCTCAAATAAGTCTTTAAAAAAATATAAAAGGAAAAATAGATCTATGTATATAAGGGTGAGTCTCTACCTGAAATTCTTAAAAGAATGTTTTACATATACTTTTGAGGAAAAAAAAAAGTTATGGTAATCAATGTTAGTGAAAATAAGAAATAAGAAGGCAAGATTCAATTTTGGTCTTAATAATCATTAACATTATTTAGTTTGTTATAATGTGCCAATCAGTGTGTTCAGTATTTTATATACCATATTTTCTTTTAAACTTCCTGCAAATCTCAAAGCTTCACATACTGCATACCCATTTTCCAGGTAGAGAAAAGAAAGTAGAGAAAGGTTAAATAGCTGAGAGAAGTAGTAGAGCCTTGGTTCAGACTGACATGTATACTTCCTCTCCTTAGTCTCTTTCATTCTATGAGTCTGTCTTCTCCCTGTCTTCTCATTTACCTTTTAGACTTAAACTGAACTGGAAGTGCACTCTTTTCCTTCTTTCTTTCAAAGTATTGGACATTCAGATTGGACACAACGTTGAGGACCAAGATGTTTCTGCTGAAGGCCAGAATGCACTGCAGCCTAACTGGCCTGTTGAGCATTTCTTCCTCAGTGACAAGTGACCTGCTGCTGCAGCAGTGGAAACCTAGCAACCTGGCAGCCTTACAGCACTTACAACTAATACCATACACGCTGAAACACAGTGTGAGGTGTGAAGTCCGCCCCAGGTCCATGTAGCAGTGATAATACCTTTCCCATTTTGCCTTGTCTGCTTCCTGTTTTCTCAAAAATGGTTTTAGAAGGTAGAAAGCAAACAAATATAAAATGATCCTCCAAGTTCATACCAGAGGGAGAGAGAGAAGAGCCTAGAAAACTACTGTTAAGACTATTACTTCTCGGGACACCTGGGTGGCTCAGTGGTTGAGCATCTGCCTTTGGCTCAGGGTGTGATTCTGGGATCGAGTCCCACATCAGGCTCCTGCAGTGAGCCTGCTTCTCCCTCTGCCTATGTCTCTCTGTGTCTCTCATGAATAAATAAATAAAATCTTAAAAAAAAAAAAAGACTGTATTTCTCTGTTCTCCAGCAATCTAGCCAGTCTCTCCCCATATTCTTGTCTCATTCTTGATATTTCCAAATCAGTCCTCTCCACTCTTTCCAGTGCCTTTTCTTCCTTCCGCTGTTTATGCTCTTTGATCCCTTCCACGACACGTGGCACAATCCTATGGAAGGACCTTGTAGTCTAGGCAAAGCAGTAATATGAAGAATCTGAACTCCCATCCTCAACCCCCTTGTGATACACTGCCTTAGGGCAGATCCCAGTAATTCCTGAAGCCATTGAGGGGCAGGCAGGCATCCTTTCTCAAGCATGTACATGCAGCTGTCTACATTATAGGGTAAACTGGAGATATCCCTGTTGTCAAATTAGTGTTAGTAGAGCCGGAGCTAATCAAAGTGCTTCATGTCAAAATTAAATCTCACTTGGGAACCTAAACCACCTGTTTTCATAGGGAAATGGTGCTGTGAATGACTTTCCCCATGCTTCTTTAGGGAAATAATTTCTTTTTCAGGGCCTTTTTGAAGGCCAGAAATATCCCAAGCCGTACAACTTGTACATTAGTTTGGGAATAATAGTCAAACTTTTTATTACTTGTATACTTCTTAGCAAGCAACAGGCTTTTATAGTTTTTAACTTTTCAACCCTTTTTATTCTATAACATTTAATTTTATTTTCAAGATAATTCTGGTCAATGTGCAGTACTAATTTTAAAGAAAGGCTAGATGATTTTCCCCAAGTTTATATAGCTAGTTATGGAAAAATTAAAGTTAGACTCAGTTACTGTAACCCGGGGGTCAGCATCTCTTTTTCTTGGCCACACTGTTTAATCTTACCTTTGTGTGAATGGATTTAAATGATCAATAACAAATAGTTCAGTTTGAAGGCATCCTCTAGCCACACAGAGGGTCATTTGTGTAGACTACATTCACATTTGTGAATGTCTTATGAAAGCATCACTATTCTGTTAAGCATCTTATAAATGTAATTTCCTAAGGTGTTATTTTTAAGAATATTTATTTGAAGTCTATGACCTCATAAAAATAATTTTATTTACTGTCACAGATCAGTGAGCTTAGGAAATTCAGTATGCAAACAACAAATATGATAAATAGATGTACCTCATTACTCCTGAAATCACAATTGATCTAGATTGTTTTTTAATAGTTCTTCATCAGAAAGATTAGCCAGTATTTTCTCGTGCTGCTCTCAGTGCTGATTATGCCATAAGTTCTTCCTGTTTTGACATCTTGGTGAAATGCTTGCCGTTTCATTCAATGTTGTAAGTCCATGGACCAGATATTTTCCTGACTCCAAACAAAAGAGACATTCAGAAGTTGAATTCGTTTGGCAAAATGTAAACTAGAAATATACGTAATATTTTCAAAAACTAGAAAATATGAATAAATAAACCTATTTTCCCTAAAGTAATATTTGTATTATGAGTTTTTCCTTCTGTAAGCTTGTACTAGAAGAATGTTTAACTTCTCTGAAGAAAATCTTGATGTTTACTTGTGGTACCTGTAAAGCTTTGAGAAGGGTCCAACGGGGGTGGATATAATAAATTATCTCTCTTTTCTAAAAGGAATTTGGTCAAAAATATTCATGTACCTTGTGTGAAAAAGGAAAAAAAAAAAAGACTATCTTTTATGAGTAGGTATAGCCAGCTCATTCGGATATTTTTTTCAGCCAGTTCTTAACTTGTACCTATGTTGGTACATCTAACAGTTGATTGGTAGTTAATTTCTCTTTTCCACTGATTGTTGGTTTCTTTTATATGAGCTTTGAGATTTTAGAGATATTTAGAAATAGTATTACCCATTTTGCTAACACTATTTTGATATGCCCAAATCAGAAAGAGCATGAACAGGGGGAAGGGCAGATGGAAAGGGAGGACCAGACTCCCCGCTAAGCAGGGAGCCCCACTAAGACTAAGCTAGCTGGATCACAGGACCCTGAGATTGTTACCTGAGCTGAAGGTAAGATGTTTAACTGGCTGAGCCACCTAAGCATCCCAAAAATGTTTTCTTTTTCAACTATTACAATGATGAACATTTTTAAAAGACAATTTTTTAAAAATTGTGCAAACTGACTCTTTTGAACTCTGACTTGAAAATCCTGGGTTCCTTAAATAAAATAGGAGTGAGGAAACTAGCTGCAGAGTTTCTGCAGGAGGTGGGGAGACGCCAGGACACCTGAACTTATTCTAGCAATGTAGGATAAAGGAAATTCAAGTTTAATTTCCAAGTAAATAGAAAAGCTTCAGGATGCTATGAATTGGGCATTGCTTGAGAAAGTGTAGGGGGGGGAAAGAGCTATCAGAGTTATTGATATCTGAAACATGGGAGCTTCTGACTGGAGAAGGTTTCTAATAAGCTACAACTCCAGCAGGGGTGCTAGGGATTAAAACAGTGTTTGGACTAACACATGATTAACTAGCCACAGTTTAGATAAGTAAGATATCTTTAAAGGGCAATAGAAAAACTGCCCTCCAGATTTTGAAATTTGTTATTACTCAATAAAGTGAGTAAGTGTTTAGCATAAAGCAAGTGACATTCTTAATTTTTCTTAGCAGAAAGCCAGAATGGAATATTAAAAGAGTAAAAAACAGAACAAAACAAAACAAAACATGGTGGCTTAGATTCTTTGACCCCGTATCATCCCTGGCTTCCATTAAAATTCTGAAAACATTTGTTTTTTCCTTCACTGGCATTAATTTGGCCACCACTTCCCACTCCCATCTATTTAACATAAGTTCTATATAAATGGTAGTTCAGCTTCCTCATACTGACTAAGAATTTATGGCTTTGCTATGTGTTAAAAAATAAATGCTTTAAGCAAGTACTTTTGACTTGTCTGGTTGTCGTCTACTCTTCTCCTTACGTGTCTTTGAACATCCTCAATGTCCTTTTGTGGGTTACAGGACTTGTTGAGGAGGTCAGCATACTCAGAAGTGACACAGTCGCCTTGTATACTGCTGAGCACTGGAAATACCTGCAGGGTGAGTCCATTTCATACTCAGAGTAGTATATCCATATTTTATATTTATTATTTGAAAAGTAAAATCAATAATCATAAGATCATGTTAAGAATAACTTCAATTTTACTTTAAAATTTGTAAAAACTGTATTTTTATGTAGTACATTGCAATGTATTCTATTTTGTATGTCACAACTCTAGACCACATGAACAGATAACTTTATTTCTGACACCAAAGTAATTACCCTTTGCATATTGAATAGGTCATTATTTTGCATCACATTTTCTTCATAAATCAAAGAAATTGAGTTATCATGACTAATTCTTAATCTACTTTCTGTCTAAAGATAGCAAACATTTGGACTAGAAAAATTGAAAAACAAGGTCATTATTTAGATGTTTTATCTACAAGATATTAAACAGCCAGATGTCTAGTTAAAGTTTTTGTTTTTAAATAGGGCAAAATAGAAATTTCAGTTGTCTTCTAAATTTAATTAAAGATCAGTGTGATCAAAACATTTACTCTGGAACTTGCATTTTCGATTTTGAATGCCTGTATTGATCAAATTAACCAGAGGCTTTACAAATTGCACCTTACGCTACACTCAAACATGGGTAGCCAGAGCATTCAGCAACCCTCAGTCCTAATCTAGTCCACTCTTCCCCATATGTCTGAATTAAAAGGGACGGGGGGGGGGGGGGATTGAACATAGTTGTGCTGGAAGGTGAGGGTATGTGTGTACACATGTATTTTATATCTCCCTTAAATTTTCCCCTAGATATTTGTTCTTTCACTCATCCTTTCTCATCTCCCATTTGTTAATACAAATGCAAGGCTACTGAGTCATACTAATGCTGTCAGCCAATATATTAGCCTACTCTTTTATGAATCTTTAGTTTGATCACTAGCACCTGAAAATCAACTGATAAATAATCTAGATTAAATAGTCTAAATATGTTGTGTGTGTCTGTAGTAAAATTTTGCTATTTAGGATGATGCTTTCAGTTGAAAAATGGCAACTTTAAAGTTTTAATAAATATCCTCAATGCTGTTATGAACTAAGCTTCTAATTTTACAGATCATTTGATGACTCATTTTTCTGAAGCCCCAGTTACATATGATTAATGGGGTTTTATTTGGGATTTAACTTTTCTCTCTTTTATTTGTTTTTCAACACTTAATGGGAATCTTTCAGAAGCTTCCACCACTGTTCTGTTTTTTAATCAAGTGAGGTATGAAGACTAATCAATTTTAGATTTCAAATTGTGCCTTCATACATGTGATACAAAATTAAAAATATACCATTTACTTTTATGAGGATGTTATGTTACTACTTACTCAAATTTTTTTTTCCTTTTTTTTTTTTTTTTTTTTTTTTTAGTATGCTCCATACCCAATGTGGGGCTTGAGTTCATGAACCTGAGATTAAGAGTCACATGCTCTATTGACTGAGCCAGCCAGGCACCTCCTTAAATTCCACACTAATGAATGTTTTGATCAAAATTTATTTTTCTATGTTTAGAACATTTAATTATTGTGACTATATGTGTCAAAAATACTGATATGCTTAGAAGGACAAGTATTTTATATCTATCTTAAGTCTGTTTAGTTCTTCAGCAATCTGAGATATATGCTGGTCATACATATACTGTAGAAGATTTTAAATCTGTTTAGTTCTTCAGAAATCTAAGGTATATGATGGCCTTAAATCTATTGTAGAGCATTTGGATTCCTTCTTTAGCTTATTTCTCTCTGACTGAAATTTCATATTGGTCATTGTTAAGTTATGACAGAAATGAAATACATGGGATTTAATTCAATATTCACAAACCCACAGAGATATCACCTTACTCTCCCACTTAAAATTAAGGCTTTTGCACACTTAGTTAAAAGCACTGACCATAGATAATCAGTTTTATAAAATTGAAACATAAGTTAATCTCCCAAAGTCTATACACAAATGTGATGTCTCACTGAAGAGCATTATAGTCTTAAACAGTTTTAAGTCTCTTGCCATGACTTCTTATCTGTCTGTATGATTTCTTTTATCTTTGGCCTCAGTCCAGGTTACTTTCATTTGGAGCTGATGCCACTTTATTTTTTTAAAATTAATTTTGGCTAATAAATGCCTACAATATATTTTACTATACTTAATTACACTAGGAAATTGGACTTTGATTACAATTAAGTAGAACATTTCAAATATAATATCATTATAGCATAAGTTGGCCCAGCATCTGTGTTAGATTACATTATCCAAACACATGAAACAGTCAAATTTCTGACTTGGTCAACCCCTGCAGGCAGGGATCTGCTGTTTTTTGCCAGTTGAAGTCTGTTTCCTGGTTATTGCTCTCGCTGTCAGTGGGTCATCCTCACAATTCCATAAATGCTGTTGAACTCCCAACAGTTTCCTATAGTTCTTATCTGTCAACATTATTCAAGAATATTACTTTAAACAACAACAACAACAAAAAAGAAAAGAAAAAAAGAAAAGAAGGAAAAGAAGAAAAGGCTGTTCTTACATAACTTCACAAACTGTTTTCAATCAGGATTTAGGTAATAGCTTAAACTGTAGCCCCAAAATATCCAGTTCATTTTTTTTAAAGATTTTATTTATTTATTCATGAGAGACACAGAGAGAGAGAGAGAGGGGCAGAGACACAGGCAGAGGGAGAAGCAGGCTCCATGCAGGGAGCCTGATGTGGGACTCGATCCCGGGTCTCCAGGATCAGGCCCTGGGCCAAGGCAGGGCTAAACCGCTGAGCCACCCGGGCTGCCCCCCCCCTTTTTTTTTAATGAATTGTACTTCAAAGACACTTGGTTAAGTAAGAAACTGGGTTTGTTCCCAATGTCTGAAAGTGCTAGAGATCAGCTGTCCATGTTTCTTTAACCTTATGGCAAGGCTGCCTTAGTTAATGCCATGTCTTCCTTTTATCCATTTCTTGGGAAAGTCAATGGCTGACGTGGAAATAACTGAGCATGTATAAGATTATACTATAAAGTGGGCTTATCACTCTGCATTGTGATCAAAGAACCCACTGACCTGTATACTAAGGTGGCAACAGTGGAGACAAAAAGAAGAGGAAATTCATCAACATAAAGTTGTCTTCAGATACATGGAGATGGAAGAGGTCACCTTAGAAAGCATATAAAGAGAGAAGAGATAGAGTTCTGTGATGTATTTTATTTCAAGTATTATATTCCTGTATTTGTATCCTGACCTTTAAAAATTATTTGCAACTTATGCAGAGCAAAAATATAAAAAGATTGTACCATTAACATAGGAAAATGACAGATAAGCAGCAGTTTTTTTGAAGTATACATATAAAAAGAATTGGAACATAACCTGAGGGTCACTAGTAGTTATTTCTCTCACCTTTTGTCTGGATGTTACTTTTTGAGATCATTGATGTATCTGTAGCAGAGATTATAAACAAATTAACAATATTTATTAAAAAAGCTGTATGCAGGGGAGGAAATAGTAAACTTTATTCAGTCTTCATTCCTTCTAAGAGAGAATGTTCTTTGGTCAATTCTGAGGTAACATTCTAGCTTTGCTGAACTTTTTCACAACAATTTGATCTCTGCTCAGTTTAATGTATTAAAGTCAGCACCATACAACTAACCGTTCAAAAAACTTACAATATCACCACAGTGAGTAATAATAATGTATAGTGTCTTAAGTAAAATGTTTTATTTTGTCTAATATGGGATATAATGACCTATCTTACAGGAGGTTATCTTAATAGATATCACTGTCTATACCTACTTAAGCAGCTTGGATTTAAACTATCTGGAATAAGTCTTTAACCTGATGAGAAATAGATTTATATTAAATCACTGAATCTCAGAAACTTGCCTTGGAAAGAAAGGGTGCATGTCATAGACTATTAGCAGATGCAGAAATCCTTTAATTATAAATAACTCCCTTACCTGGGGAACTTTATACTATGCTGATGAAAGCCTGAATCTAATAATGCTTTTTATTTTATAAACACATAGACACACACTCACAATCTATGAACGTGTTAAGAGCCATAGGTATAAACAACCCATTTACAAATTGCTAGATGAGACTAGCATTTACTTCCTACTCCCTCTGCCATTTGAAGAAAGCCAATTTACTATTTCATCACCTTTCTTCTTCCTGGGATTCTTTGTCTCAGTTGTAAAAATACATCTCTCTCCCCTCCTTCTGACAGATAGCTGTTTTGCTTTGTGGTAGGTGACAACCAAAGACCACAATTGTATTTTAATAGTAAATCCTTAAAGATTTACTGAGTCAAAGGAATGAGTCTTTAATTATAGAAAATTAACTTCTAGTGGGAGCTACTATAGTTGCTACTTGAAATGCCTTCCCCATTGGTTTTCAGACCAGACTACCCAGGTACCTTAACTGCATGTGCTGAATATCCATACATTTTGGTAAAGCCACCCAGAGAGCCACGCCTGACCCAACTAGTTGTGCTGCTGACTCTACTGTGAAGTCATTCCTGTGCCAGGTGAACTATAAAATTTCAGCAAGTAAGGAGCCGAAGAAAGTGTAGTACCACGATTTTCAATCTGTTTCTTCATTCTCAAACCTCACAAGGTCGAACCTTTCTGCAGAATTTCAGTTTGGCTTTTATTATTCACTGAGGAAGTCTGGTACACATAAAAGCTTCCTCTTAGTATAGATAAGATTAACAGGCTAACAGTTCTTTGGGTAAGTAGAATTAATTATCAGGAAGCTGTTGATAGTTCATTGTTGACCTGTAAAAACCTAGTAAGAATGAGGTAAACTAAAATAATAGGTCCATTTAAAGTTTGGGTCATATAAGACGTCATTAAAGATCAGATTATTTCAGCAAAGAAAATATTATAGAGAGCTCTCCTTTTAAAGGAAAATAGTTTTTCTGCTGGAGAACTTCCAAACCACACCATTTCAAAACCTAAACACTTCAGACCATTGAAAGCTAATGTTTAACTGTCTGGTTCTTGTCTTGAAAACCTTTTCCCTCTTGGTAATTCGTTTTTGTTGAAATCCAGGTGTCATCTGGCTTTTAATCCCAATTATGTTACTTTTGCCAGGCCAACATACATTGCCCAGGGGTTACTTTTTTATACCCCACATAGCTTAGAGTGAATTCTACCCTAGTCTGTGTGATTAGGAGAAGTAGTAATCAGCATTTTACTAGAGTTGAGGAAAACAGTAAAGAGCAGGGCTAGTCCAAGACATGATTGTGAAATGTCTGAAATTGTTAAAGCCCATGCCTCCTAATTTGTCATTTAACTCTTTTGTGCCCTAATCTTTGTGAAATCTTGGTCAGCCAAGAACTATATGATCCCTCTGAGCATCAATTTCCTCTTTTGGAGGATGGACTGAGACTATGTGTGATACAGTACACAACATATGGCCTAATACATAGTACATGTTAAAAAATTATTAGGTCATCATTTTCATCTTCATTAACATCTCTTAAGCTCAAGACTAAGGGATATTTAATACTAATAAATATTTTATTTATTTATTATTTTTATTTATGATAAAATATAAGAATTTTTTCTGTTAATAATTTCATTCTTGAGGACCAGAAAGCTTTCCAAACCTGGAAGAATGTGTCTTTAGTTCTGACATTGTAGGGCCCATAGAAGAAGAAATGTATTAGCTTGGGGGAAGCTTCACTGCTTTACAGTGCTGCTAGCTGCTTGTTTGTTAGACTGCATTAGGCTGGCCTTGCTGGGGGAGAGGGAGAAGATTGTGCAAGTTGGGCATGGAGGCCAGCATATGGGACCTGAATGCTCATACCAGAGCCAGAGAGCCCATGTCCCAGTTAGTTCCAAAACCATTCCCCTGGCAGCCCACAGATCTGGATCCTCCTACCTCCCTCCCACCATCAGCCATTCACTAAAGAGTCTAATCAGTGCATTTTTAAATGCTATGGTGGCAGAAGCAGGTACCAAATTTGAGAGATACAAAGCTTATACAATTATCGGGGCCTTCTTTAGTAGAAAGGATGCAAGGTAATAATAAATACAAGGGTGAATAGTTAGAATAAAACAAATCACAAAGTAGACTTAGAGTGTATTTTAATAAGATGGTAAATATCACAAAACATCACAAAATCCATAAAAACAATGTTAATTACCTTCCTGACACACCCTGTAGTGGGTTCCCCCCCCCTTTTTTTTAATTTTTAGGTTGCTTACTCTGATTGTTCCCTTATGTACTACCTGATAGAAGAGAACTTGTGAGTTAACATGGCATCAGAGAAAACCAAAACCTTTGTTTACAATTTTATATGTAAAATGGTTTGAGGGGCACCTGGGTGGTTCAGTGGTTGAACATCTGCCTTTGGCTCAGTTCATAATCCCAGGGTCCTGGGATCAAGTCCACCTTGGGCTCCCGAAGGGAGCCTGCTTCTTTCTCTGCCTATGCCTCTGCTTCTCTCTGTGTGTCTTTCATAAATAAATAAATAAAATCTTAAAAAAAAAAAAAAAGATGGTTTGAAAACTTTCCAGAAATGAGCTTCTGGCTCTGAACATCTCAAACTTTTTTCCTCCACCATCATCCACATATTTGTCATTGTAGGATAGGCTTTTATTTCATTACAACTTCTAACTCTGTGTCTTCATTCCATGACCTCAAGTTAGTGGGCAGTGGGAGTATTTCTGAAAATTCCTGCTTGAGGACAGGTAGCAATAACTTAGCTGTACCTGGAAGTGAATTCAGACCACATAAATACATTTCACTAAACTCAAACTAGAATGATCTTCCATTCAATTTCCCATTAGTCAGAAACCCAAAATGAACATAGCTAATCTGTGGACACCACTCAATACAAAGAGACAGGGAGAGAAATTTGATATGGGAGGAGATAGCAGTCTTCACTGATTGTGATTAAAATGTTTTACTTTTTCATATTGTGCCTGTGTAAATGAGAGTCCCTTGAAAATTTAAGTTTTTTTAGCTTCCAGAAAATCCATATCTGCACAGAGATATTATTCTGACGATGAAGGAGAGGTCTTCCCTTCTCACTCTTATGGAAAGAGCTCTTTCATGTTGAAGTGCTTGGTAACTTGTAAAGATTTATACAGATATAATAGAAATTATATCAATATTATTACTAAAGTCCATTGTGCCCCAGCATGAAGCAATCTCAACAACAGAGATTGCAAAATTTTGCTGCTTGGTGAATGGAGAAGGAATCAATTTGAGTTGGCTTCTTTCTGAACTGTGAAGAACCTAGTTTTCTCCTGCCTGCTCCATCAGCCAAGGCAACCTGAAGAAGCAACTTAAATTTTGTTAAGAAATTTTTTAACCTCGTTCAACAATTTTAGTTGTCTCATTTAAATCCTGACTCTGCTTTGCCGCTAGCAAGTTATATGGGCTTGGACAAATTAGTTTGTCTCTCTAAGCCTCAGCTTTCTCATCTATAAAATGGCAACTGTCCTTGAAGAATTGTAGAAAGGATTACATGGATAGCATATACTACTTGGCTCTTAGTAGATGACTAAGATATTGCACCTGTTAATTCCAATGATAACAATAGGTAAGAATCAAGAGGGGAATGTTAGACAGCCAAGAGTCCAGGGACTTCCAGATGTGCCAAACACAGTAAGAAAAGTCAAACTGTAAATACTGATAGGAATGCTTTCCATTTCAGCTCTTCCAGTTTTCCCGAGGGCTCAGTAGCAATACGGTGAAAGTGACCATAGTGACATGATGGCCATAGCACTCTCTGAATAGAATTTGTGAATAATCATGAGGCTTTTAGGAGGCAAGAGAAATTCGTATCTGGCTCAGGTTTTCCTTCTGATGTATGCTTTAATTCTGAAATTGCATGAGATTTGGGAAGTGTTCTAGCCTCAGAGAGTTTGATAATTGAACAGGAACAGCACATTGCCCCTAGTGATGTCTGCGGAGAACTGACATTGAGTGCCTATCAGATAATATAGACCCTGTAAATGTTCTTTGAATTCAGCTAAAGTAGTTTATCCTTAGAGGGCCTGGGTACTGCTGCTTGGGCTGGACATGGCCGGGCTTGGAATAGCCTGAGATATCAAGTAATTTGAGGAAGCAAAGCATTATCACTAGTGATTGGCTCTGAAGCTAGACCACACTAGGCCCCAAATCCCAGTTGTAGCATTTAACATCTTTTTTTAAAATTTAATTTTATTTAAATTCAATGAATTAACATATAGTATATTAGTTTCAGAGGTAGAGTTCAGTGATTTCAGCAGTTGTATATAGCACCCAGTGTTCATTACATCATGTGCCCTCCTTAATGTCTATCACCCAGTTACCCCATCCCCCTACCCCTATCCCCTCCAGCAACCCTCAGTTTGTTTCCTATAGTTAAGAGTCTCTTATGGCTTGTCCCCCTCTCTGATTTTGCTTTATTTTATTTTTCCCATCCTTCCCTTTTGAGCTTCTGTTTTTTTTTTTTTATAATTCCACTTACTGTCTTTCTCTGCTTGACTTATTTCACTTAGTGTAATATCCTCCAGTTCCATCCATGCTGATGTAAATGGTAAGTATTCATCCTTTATGATGGCTGAGTAATATTCCATTGTGTATATATGTGTGTGTGTATATATATATGTGTGTGTGTGTGTGTATATATATGTGTGTATATATATATATATATATATATGTATATATATATATATATATACCACATCTTCTTTAGCCATTCATCTGTTGATGAACATAGGGTTCTTTCCATAGTTTGGCTATTGTGGACATTGCTGCTATAAACGCTGGGGTTCAGATATCCCTTCAGATCACTACATTTGTATCTTTTGGGTAAATACACTAGTATGCACTTAACATCTTACAACCATGGGCAAGCTATTTAAATTCTGTGTCTCACTTCCTCTTTGTGAAGTAAGGATACTAAGTACTTCATAGGGTTATAGTGAGTATTAAAATATATATTAAATGAGTATTTCTAAAGCAAGTGCTCAGTAATAGTAGTTCTAGTATTAAATGGGAAGTTTGGTGGAGTATCCAGCAGGTATTTGGCTTTCTGTATCTGGCACTCAAAAAAAAATAGTAATTAAAGATAAATTTTATATTTTTTAGTTTTGTTAGTTACCTGTGGCTTCTGTTTAATTTGAGTTTTAAAACAACAGAAATTGATTCTCTCACAGTTCTGGAGGCCACAAGTCCAAAATCAGAACCAGTGAGCCAAGGTCATCGTGTCGGCAGGCCATGCTCCTTCCAGAGACTCCAGGGGAGGATCTATTCCTTGCCTCCTCCAGCTTCTGATGGCTAATTGTTTAGCTTTCTCTCTCTCTAAGGTGTGACTGACTAGTCAAGTAGTATTTTTTTAATCATTATACTCTTTTGTAGTATCTTTAAGAGAATTCTAAATATTACTTTGAATTTTTTTCTGATATTAACATTTTTTAGTCCTTCAATAATCATTATAGATCTCAAGGTGCTACAAATTGTATTAGGGATAATGTACAACATATTAGGGATTATATAAGATTACTATATTAGGGGGGAGGGGCAAGATGGCGGAAGAGCAGGGTCCCCAAATCACCTGTCCCCACCAAATTACCTAGATAACCTTCAAACCATCCTGAAAATTTACGAATTCGGCCTGAGATGTAAAGAGAGACCAGCTGGAATGCTACAGTGAGAGGAGTTCGCGCTTCTATCAAGGTAGGAAGACGGGGGAAAAAGAAATAAAGGAACAAAAGGCCTCCGAGGGGGAGGGGCCCGCGAGGAGCCGGGCTGAGGCCGGGGCGAGTGTCCCCAGGACAGGAGAGCCCCGTCCCGGAGGAGCAGGAGCTGCACCAACCTTCCCGGGCGGGCGGAAAGGGGCTCGCAGGGAGTTGGAGCAGGACCCAGGAGAGCGGGGATGCCCTCGGGCTCCCGGGGACACTAACAGACACCTGCGAGCGCAGGGGAGTGCTCCGAGCTCCCTAAGGGCTGCAGCGCGCACGGCGGGACCCGGAGCAGCTCAGAGGGGCTCGGGAGCGGCTCCGCGGAGGCGGCTGCAGGGCGGGAGCGCGAATCCAACAGCGCAGGCCCCGGAGCACAGGGCGCCGGGACACAGCCCAGGATCCGGCCTCCCCCGGGACAGGCAGAGGCCGGGAGGGCCCGAGACAGCGAGGACGCTCCTGCCCCGAGCTGAGCAGATCAGCGGCCCCGCCCCGGAGCCTCCAGGCCCTGCGGACGGAGAGCCGAGAGCCCCATAGTTCCTGCGGAGGCTGAATCCAGGCTTCCAGAGTTGCCATAGCAACTGCTGCTGTTCCTCCTGGGGCCTGGCGGGGTAAACAACCCCCGCAGAGCCCTGCAGCAGGCAGGGGCAGAGCAGCTCCCCCAAGTGCTAACACCTGAAAATCAACGCAACAGGCCCCTCCCCCAGAAGACCAGCTAGAGGGACCAGTGATACTCCCCCGTGTTCCAATACAACTTGTTTCTGGCCACTCTGCACTGAGCAAAATGACTAGAAGGAAAACCTCAACTCAAAAGAAAGAATCAGAAACAGCCCTCTCTCCCACAGAGTTACAAAATCTGGATTACACTTCAATGTCAGAAAGCCAATTCAGAAGCACTATTCTACAGCTACTGGTGGCTCTAGAAAAAAGCATTAAGGCCTCACGAGACTTCATGACTGCAGAATTTAGATCCAATCAGGCAGAAATTAAAAATCAATTGAATGAGATGCAATCCAAACTAGAAGTCCTAACGACGAGGGTTAACGAGGTGGAAGAACGAGTGAGTGACATAGAAGACAAGTTAATGGCAAAGAGGGAAACTGAGGAAAAAAGAGATAAACAATTGAAGGACCTTGAAGACAGATTAAGGCAAATAAACGACAGCCTGAGGAAGAAAAACCTACGTTTAATTGGGGTTCCCGAGGGCGCCGAAAGGGACAGAGGGCCAGAATATGTATTTGAACAAATCCTAGCTAAAAACTTTCCCAATCTGGGAAGGGAAACAGGCATTCAGATCCAGGAAATAGAGAGATCCCCCCCTAAAATCAATAAAAACCGTTCAACACCTCGACATTTAATAGTGAAGCTTGCAAATTCCAAAGATAAAGAGAAGATCCTTAAAGCAGCAAGAGACAAGAAGTCCCTGACTTTCATGGGGAGGAATATTAGGGTAACAGCAGACCTCTCCACAGAGACGTGGCAGGCCAGAAAGGGCTGGCAGGATATATTCAGGGTCCTAAATGAGAAGAACATGCAACCAAGAATACTTTATCCAGCAAGGCTCTCATTCAAAATGGAAGGAGAGATAAAGAGCTTCCAAGACAGGCAGGAACTGAAAGAATATGTGACCTCCAAACCAGCTCTGCAAGAAATTTTAAGGGGGACTCTTAAAACTCCCCTTTAAGAAGAAGTTCAAGTAACTCTGAACGTGAATGGGCTTAATGACCCCATCAAAAGGCGCAGTTTCAGACTGGATAAAAAAACAGGACCCATCTATTTGCTGTCTACAAGAGACTCATTTTAGACAGAAGGACACCTACAACCTGAAAATAAAAGGTTGGAGAACCATTTACCATTCAAATGGTTCTCAAAATATACCCTAAAAACTACAGAACACTTCTGAAAGAAATTGAGGAAGACACAAAGAGATGGAAAAATATTCCATGCTCATGGATTGGCAGAATTAATATTGTGAAAATGTCAATGTTACCCAGGGCAATTTACACGTATAATGCAATCCCTATCAAAATACCATGGACTTTCTTCAGAGACTTAGAACAAATTATTTTAAGATTTGTGTGGAATCAGAAAAGACCCCAAACAGCCAGGGGAATTTTAAAAAAAGAAAACCATATCTGGGGGCATCGCAATGCCAGATTTCAGGTTGTACTACAAAGCTGTGTTCATCAAGGCAGTGTGGTACTGGCACAAAAACAGACATATAGATCAATGGAACAGAACAGAGAACCCAGAAGTGGACCCTGAACTTTATGCTCAACTAATATGCGATAAAGGAGGAAAGACGATCCACTAGAAGAAAGACAGTCTCTTCAATAAATGGTGCTGGGAAAATTGGACATCCACATGCAGAAGAATGAAACTGGACCACTCTCTTGCACCATACACAAAGATAAACTCAAAATAGATGAAAGATCTAAATGTGAGACAAGATTCCATCAAAATCCCAGAGGAGAACTCAGGCAACACCCTTTTTGAACTTGGCCACAGTAACCGGAGAAGGACAAACGGTGTATGTTCTCATTCATTTGGGGAATATGAATAATAGCGAAAGGGAATATAAGGGAAGGGAGAAGAAATGTGTGAGAAATATCAGAAAGGGAGACAGAACATAAAGACTTCTAACTCTGGGAAATGAACTAGGGGTGGTGGAGGGGGAGGAGGGTGGGGGGTGGGGGTGAATGGGTGACGGGCACTGGGGGGTACACTTGACGGGATGAGCACTGGGTGTTATTCTGTATGTTGGTAAATTGAACACCAATAAAAATTAATTTATTAAAAAAAAAAAAAGATTACTATATTAATGGCTAACATTCCAGTCCCTTATATGTGACAGGAACTGATTTAAATATTTTATCAACGTATTTCAAAATTTGCTGAGAAAGGAGACACAAATGTGATATTAATATTATTGCCATATTTTCTAGGAGAGGGAACTGAGAATCATGTGGCTAGGAAATAGGAAATGTGAGGCAAGGCCTATTGTCTGAACCAGTATGACATACATTTTTTTTTCAGCATCTGCAAGAAAACATCTCTAACATACTTACTTGGGGCAGAAGTATACAAATAAGAATTTTTTCAAAGTGATAAAACAAAAATCAACTTTTGTCTCTAAGAAAACATAATACTGAAAATCCTTATCCATTATTCATATTCATATGTACTGATAGCTACTATGTACTAGGCACTGTTGTAGAAACTGAATTTTCAAAAATGGTCAAAAACCCTTGTCCTCACATTCAAGTGAACTGGATCCATCTTTCAATTTCATGTAATAATCAGTACTGTCACTATAATCCCAGAACTAAGTGAGATGAAGGCAACTTCCCCCTAACTGCATATAAAAGAACAGCATTGACTCATTGGAAGTGGAATTACAATGTATAGTAGAAATTACCACTACCCACTGCTGAAATCATCCTTCTGGGAGAAACTGAACCATGAGTGAAAAATAACACAGAAAAAAAGAAAAAAAAAAAAAGAAAAGAAGAGGAAATGAGGGAGGGAAGGGGGAGGGAAGAAGGAAGAAAGGAAGGTAGGAAGGGGTAGGGACAGGGAGAAGGCAGGAAGGGAGGGAGGGAAAGAGAAAGAGAAAGCAAAGAGAAAAGAGAAAGAACGAATGATGATCATATATGGAGAATGTTTTCTTGTAGCTCACTGACCTTTCAAGTATCTAAACCAATAATCCAGGTTTACAGAGGTACTATCTTTATAATATTGAACAACTCATTCGACTATTGTGTTTCCTGAGGATTGTATTACCTGACATTTAAGATCATTTGCAGTCTACTTCCTGTGACCCTAAATAACAAATATTAGGAGTTAAGAGGAATCCACAGAGCTCTTCATGTTCTACTTCCCACCTACTCACAGGAAGGAATCTAGAGAAATTTCAAAAACCTCAAGTACTCAGAATACTTGAGAATAGCTCACTCTAGGCCTCTATAGCAGTGAAAATGGAGCCCCAGAGCGCTGGGACCTTCTCTCTATCACACCCTTTGATACCCCATTCCCATCAGAATTTATCATTGAAACTCATTTGCTTTTTATCCCAAAAGAAAACTCGTCCCTCATCTCAAGGCATGGTTGCCAGATAAAAATGCAGGATGCTTGATAGAATTTAAGTGGTCATCCTACATTTTTATCTGCTGAGTTTGGCAACATAGTCAAGGTCTCTCAGTGCCTTAGGAGAAAAGGCACCATATCCAGGAAGACTTCTCTGATCACCCAGCCTATGTTGAATTGCAGTTTCTCCTCCTTCAATAATCTCTACCTTACTCCTATGTTCTCTATAGTATTTCTCAACATCTGAAAAGTGATACATTTTATCTGATTGCATTTTGTTTTTTATTCTATGTTCTCCCATCCTCCTGCCAGGATGAAAATTCTACGAAACTATAGATATTTATCTACTTTGTTTATGTTATACAATACCTGTAGTAATACCTAGCACAGAAAATACCTGTCAGTGAATTTGTAAATTGTTGATTCATTTGATGTCAAAAATTATACTGCCAGTATAATAAACATCATAGGTAAATTGAATAATAATAACTAATCATACAAATAGCTGGCACTTACAGGCATATAATATCTACCAGGAAGAATACTAAATAATT